AAGTCCTGTATAATGGCAAACATATTTCAATAAAACTTAGCAAATAGACGTGATTCCACGTACTTTTGAGGTCGGTTTTTTTAGCACTCTGTACTGAGATTATCACAATGTATTTTCGAGTTTATTAGATTTTCACTATTTTCAATTTAATTTTTTTATGATACCACGCCTGTCCATAGGAGTTGCAATGCCATTCAGAGCTTTGAATCGCAAACATCGAGGGACACTGCCACACACAGACAAAAGTTGACAGATTCCAAGCGTCTTTAATTTCACCAGCACCCTTAACCTGCAAAACTTAAATGCAGTAATGTTCACATTACTGTTTGGTGGCAGGAATAGGTAATGTGGCAGTAAAACTTCCCTGGACGACGGAGCTCGACTGCTACTTATATAGAAATACAATTATTTATATATGGTTATTTTATTTTTATTGTCGTTACCCAATTTTCATTATAATGTAATTTACCTACTGTTTCTATTTTAATTGATTCAATTAAAAAAAATAGAAAAATAAACTCTTATCGCTTTATCATTTTTCATTAATTCATTTTTAGCCCTGTATCTCCCATTGTTGTGTATAGGCTTCATTTCGCTCCTGTCAAACTTTCAGGTCCTGTGCAGCTCTGTCTAGGTGTTGTCTTTCTTTTCCTAATAACTAGGCATAAAACTTAGTGGTTTAAGTTAGCTAACCGACTCAATACACAAGTCAACGTATTGAGGTCAAATTTTCAATTAGATACGTAGACTTTTTGTCCAAACATGGAACAATCGTTTTATGTTCATATTCTGGTGTATTCGAATATTTGTAAAATACTAACAACTTTGCAGAAGTATATTACTAATATCATAAACACCATTTAGTCCATGATTTTTAATAATTCGTTAGATTATACTTTCGCGTAAAAATAAAAATAATTTAAATAGATCTCTCTGAACGGTAATATCCGTGCGGTAATAAAAAGAAGCAAATATCAGTGCAAAACGCAGGAGCGGGGGCGGGGTTTTTCGGGGAGGACGCTTGCACCTTTGACGCAGATCTAAAAGGTGTCAGATAGTATAACAAACACTGTTAATTTATTTTTTTGGTAAATTTATTATGTTTTGTATAAAGTCATGAAACAAAAGTTGTTATTTATGATGGATGTTTGTGATTATAGTCCTGCAAGGTTGTTAGTACTATACTAAGAATAATCCTGTTATACTCGTCTAAAGCTACAATGTCATGCGCGATTCGAAAATAGAGTTGGTTATTTAGAAAGCGAATTTATAAGATAAAGGTGTCTGCGCAGCTGCAACAATAATGAGGGTCATTCCACGCATGCCGATGACGATTCATCTTAAGGGGCATGTGACAAAACGAGCATTCTATGAGAGTCTTTGAGAAAACTAGAATAACATTCAGATTAAGTTATACAATTTGACAGACTGTTTATATTGACCATGCTGGTCTGCCACGCAGATCTGCTCTGGGTTCGATGCCCGGGCCGGGAGAAATATTTGTATGGCTTATACTTATTTCTCTCGTGAGTTTGGGTGTAATTTGTGGTAGTCTTTTTTTATACAATAAGTGATGGTGCGCCTGGTGATAAGCCTTACGCCTATCCATAACAGTTCCAGTGCCACTCAGAGCTTTAAATTACAAAGATCTTAGGGGCACTGTCACAGCGCCCTTCACCCTGAGACGTGATTTGACAAGTCATGATGCTTGTATAGAAAAGAAATTATAGAATTTCACCAACACCCCGAGCGTTTGCGCCCTAAATTCGTATCGTTCAGTTACAGGGTACATTTTTCGTATTTTCTCGGATTGGAATCGGACTTAGTGCACAAGCGACATCCGACGTGGGTCCGAGTTTTCTAGATTTGTATAGTCTCGGATAAGGAACGAATACGAATCCCGGAACGCAATAATGCTCCACATTACTGTTTGGCGGCAGAAATAGGTAAACTTAACCTTTATTGCCACTATATACGTATAGTTTTTATTCGTTATTATGATCACCAATGGTTTCAACTTTTCCACTCATCCGTCACTTCTTACTTATCTCGCCTATCTTCAAAAGAGGGTTATTGAAAGCTACTAATTCAATTATATAGGTTAACATGAAAGTGATTTCATGCTCACAGCAAGACACGGTCTCGTAAACTAGTATTGACTACAACCCATGTGGTGTAAGAACAAACTCTTATTTATAGCGAAGAACTACTCGTACTCTTGGTGCAATAAAGCTCTATGTGACCATACGTGAAAAGTCGTTAAAATAATTTGAACGAATAAAATTAGCCTAATGGAAAATATCTATTGCAGCCTAAAGAAATTTATTGCTTCACTCAGATGGTAGCTTTAAAGGTCAGGTACCTTTAAAACTACAATCTGAGCTCGACTCGACATCGTCGAATAGGGACGCCGCTTTAATCATTGTAATTTTCAAGTTTTTGTTGTATGTCACGATGTTTTACTACTATGGTATTTAATTGTTTTTTGTGAAATTGCTATACTAGTTTATTATTATACTCCACTAGTTATTATTAACAAAGATCGAACACTTAGAAAAAAATTAAATTATATCGAACGAAATATCGAACATCGAGTATATAAATTTGTTTGAAAACTATTCTGCCATAACATTACGGTGACAACAGCGCTCCGATTTCGAAAATTCGAAACACTTGACGGGAGTCGTCAATTCTTTCACTTCAACACGACCAGTTTAACTTGAGCTTTGCTATAATGGACGAAAATTAAAAAAAATGTGTATCTAATTACTGATGAAATGTGATACCGTTTGTTTTGTAATGAGATGTTTTGCTGTTTTTCCCACTCTACGGAATGAACAGCCCCTATAGTTAGAAATATTAACTTTATTGCAATAAATGCAGAATATTTTTGGAATATACGGAGACGTACACTTACAAGTATAAATCATTGTACACACAGGTTAGTTGTTGGCGCTGTTCTATGTCACTACCATTTGACTGATGAGTTGCCAGGGCTGGATTGCCCTTATTTCAACTCTCTTTTTGGTTATATATTCGATGATATCGCAGAAATAAATTTCTTTAGGAAACAAATTTCTTTAACCTACCGCCTCTCAGAGGCCATGGGTTCGAATCCGGGTTCGCACCTCTGAGTTTCTCGGAGAAGAAGATTCACGCCCCTCGGAGAAGTAAAGCATTCACCAGATCTGTACGCAGCACCCTTGCACTACTTTGTATTTTTTTCAACGTAGCTTTTGTAATCGTAATAAATATATAAAGAATATTTTTAATATTACCGAGCAGAGTACACACTCTTAATAAACTCATAAACCAAGAATAATGGGTATAAAATGTCACCATATAGCGCAAATATATTGAAATAGGTCAAGCGTGTCGTGGTTTGCTAAAATATTAAATAGGACGCTGATGCATAATTCATGTTGTGACGTATCCGGATAGCAGCTCATTTAATATTACGACGTTAAATGCAAATGGCAGAACATTTTTTTACACGACGCCTTTTGGGAAAAATAAGGAATGAGTGGTGGAAATAATTTAAAATGTGTCAGCACCAGAAGAGAACTTTAGTAGCAGTACTCTTATCTATTTCAGTCGTCAAACAATAATGTGAGCGTTTCAGTTTTGAAGCGTAAGGGTAATGGTGATATTACAGAGACTTATCAGGTTAACGGGCACCGTGGCAGTGCCTCTCAGATCTTTTTGAGTCAAAGCTCTGAGTGGCACTGCAACTGTTATAGACAGGCATGTCGCTTACCCCCGGGCGCATGACTTGTTCGACTCGTCTCTTGGTATCATAAAAAAAAGTCAGAGGTACAAAAAAGCCACAGGAACTGGAACCTTGAACACCAGAATTGAGAAGCAACCGTTCACCCTTCAAAAGAAAAAAACCAATTGTGTTGTAAACTACAATTTCGTCAAAATTATTTGTTCCCCATTTCTACAAGGCCCTTCAAACATATTAGGTTTCATCACTTTCTACAACAAACAAACGCACAAAATACGGAAAATTTACTATTATTCTTTTCATAGGCTCGTGACAGAGGCGTAATTGCTTTAGTAGAAATATGATATAAAAGGTATTTTTGTGATATCTATATAATTTAAGAATTTCTTTTTATTTTTCACCCACTTGTAGAAGTCGGTACCTGTGACACTCTGGCAGAAATAGAAGCGATAGATCTCTGTGTTAATAATAGGTAAACAAATTGAAGATTAACGACCACACGCGCTGAAATAGACTTTTTAGATAGGTATTCTAGACAACATATGATCTACTTTGAAATGCTACCTATCTATACATAATGTCTATAGAACATAAGTTTCATTGGAATGTACTTGGTTTGGATTTTGTTTTGTTTGTTTAATGTTCGCTCTTTTTCTCTATCAATGATTTTTACAATAAGGTAATAAATATGACAATAAACAATTATTTCAGCACCTTTCTTTTAGTGTTGTTTAAAAAAAAATGTAATAAATCTCTAATGGGTGGTGTAAAACTGTTTTTTAAATTAAAGTTGACACGGTCTGATTTTTCTTTAATAAATAAAAAATTATAATATTAAAAAACAATTTTTTCTTGCTTCCGTTCACAATAATAATTTGCCGTACGACCTCATGCAATAAAAAAAAAACACATTATAGGTATTGCTTCTTTTTTACTTTATTTTTTTAATTTAATTTTCCTGTCATAAATGTCACTTTTCAATGATATATATTTTTAAGGTTTCTTTTTTGAACGTGATTCTGCGATAATAATTTTAGAATGATGATTACATTTATTCGGTAGGTAATCAACTTGTGTTTAATGGCTATCGATTATATTATGCGTGATAGGAAATATAACCTATTTATCACAGCTAATCGAGTAGTTTCATGATCAGATACATGAGCTAATTACTGCTATTAGAAAAATTATCTATAAAAGTACCCTTTAATATCTCTCTTGTGCTGCAATCAAATTGTAACAAAAGCAATCTTATAACGATGTTTTTTTGCAGTATTTCAACCACCTTAAAATGTATCAATTACCTGCGATCAATGCGATATGTTAGCACTTCCAACACATCTGACAGGTTTTATATAAATTACCTGAAGTGGCCTGAAATTCTAAAGTTCCACGGGCCTACAGGAGAAGAGGTCAGTTTCATATTTTCGGACTTTTCTATTTTAGAATTTTTAGTCTATTATTATTATTAGATTTTAGTTCAATAATTCTCTTCTTATACTGAATTGGTTGATACCAACGATATTGTACAATTTAAACGTTTTATATTAAAAAGAGATCGATCAGAATCTCAAATATTTGTCGAATGCGAAGCCTGTAATGGAACGGTATTCGAGTATACAATTATGTAGTTAATTACACCACTTTGTCAAGAATTGATGATGTCTATTATTATTCTATTAGAATGCACTAGAAATATAAACGTTTTCAGGTATTGGCAGACGTCGATTTGACTGGAAAAACATGTTTGATAACGGGAGGAACTAGTGGCATAGGGCAAGAAATTTCAAAATGTCTCATGTCTAAAAACTGTAACATGTTGATGGCAGTTCGTAATCCTTATGCTATTAACAACGCTTTAAACAATTTAAATAAAATCAATGACAGCGGAACTCTGAAAGCATATGAAGTGAACCTAGCGTCTTTGTCATCAGTGAAGCAATGCGTGAATCAATTATTGAAGGAACAGAAGTTTGTATTATATATTACTTTGTCTTAATTACTGTGGTTGTAGTTATACAGAGTAATTACAAAAAATTAGCGACGTTTTTAAGGGTGATTCTAGCTGTCATTATGAATACCATTTACTATGGAGACCCTTCCCAGATTGCCGATCCGCTGTTCCATTCAATTCGTCATTTCAAAGATATTGCCAAAGTAAAAATAGTTGGTAGATATTAAGTTAAAATCACTCCATAAAAATTTCGCAGTGCTTCAAGATCATCTCTATTAATGTATATTTTTCAGGAACATTGATATTGTTATTCTAAATGCGGCTGTGTTTGGGATCCCTTGGAGTCTGACGGAAGATAAATTAGAAACAGTTTTCCAAGTAAATTTCTTGAGTCAATATTATTTGCTCACGAGTATTGTACAAATACTTGCGAAAAATGGGCGAGTTGTTATTATGTCATCAGACTCTCATAGGTAGGACTAATTAATTACTAATTAGACATTTTTATTAAGCATTATTCTACTTCTTCTTGTGTGTTTTTTATTTTCATAAAGGGTTCTCATATCATGTCCAAAACGTTTCGTGGCATATTTAATTCTTAAAATTCCTGTTTATGAAGCCGTTGACACAAAGTTAAACAAAAAGCCTTGGTCGACTAATGGTTTGACCTACCGCCTCTCAAACAGTGACCGTGGGTTCAAATCCAAACTCGGAATTTATGTAACAATAACGCACACACTCATAGCCCCACACTAGGGGATAAAGGGTAGTATCGCAGATGACATGGACACACACATAGACAACCACAAATTACAACCAAACTCACGAGTGAAATAAATGTAGACCACACAAAATATTTCCCTTGGCTCGGGAATCGAACCCGGGACATCTGCGTGGCAGTCAAGCATGGTAACCGTTCGGCCACGGAGGTAGTTTATTTGCGAAATGTTCATTGAAATTGACTATGAGCTTTTTGGCGAAGAGGGTTCACAAACCTCGGAAAACGTGTGAAGTCTCCGACCCGCATTCGGCCGTCGTGACGGACTATGGTCTAAACCCTCACCTGGGAGCAGACCCGTGCCCAACAGTGAGACGTATAAATGGGGTGCAGATGATGTCACAACGTTCAAATTTTCTATAAAAACCGTTTATTCCCAGTACTTTCATGTACACAGTACGACGTGGAACAATTTGTAATCTTAAATTGTTATATTTACTCCCATCAGTTTCATGTCATTTTACTCCTGACTTTTCTTTCACACGTCCGATATTTAGAATAAAATCTATTTTGCATTTTTGGGTTTTCTTATCGTTATTTAATTTATACAGAACTGATTTTCCGTTTCAGAAATATAAAATGGTCGCTACAAAATACTCTGCTACCAACCGAGGATATACTGTCTCTTCCTGAAGATGATTACACTTCAATCAAAGCGTACAACGTTTCAAAGCTCTGTGGCATTCTTGCTATGCACTACTTGGCTTATCGTTGGATGAACACAGGAAAAACCATAATGTGCGCTCACCCTGGTTCTTTCATCAAGACAAAGCTTTGTTCTAACTGGTGGCCTTATGAAGTACTCTATAATGTAATGACACCGTTCAGTAAATCCATCGTAAGTGAATATTGAATGGGCAATAAAACGGCAATTTAGTTTACGTCTTAAGTCTAGACGTAAGGAATCGTGACAAATTTTAGTATGCCATCAAGTTAGTTTCCATCCCAAATCCTATTTAGTAATACACACATTATGAATGTTTCCAAAGGAATTGCATAATTTACAAATTTGTAATAGTACATATCGTCTTAGATTTAATTAGAAAATGAATTAATACGTTTTCGTATTAATGAAATATTTGAATAAAAATAATATTAATGCTTTATTTATAGGAAATTTTCTGATTTGACAAACATTTTTCGAAAAAGATTTATTTATGTGACATAGTATATTGTATAAATGATTTATTTGTAAGATGGTATATGTAGATATTAAATTAGGGACACAACTTTATTATTTTAACATATTATTGCATGAACTCTTGCTTATACCATAATATTGCATTTCAGAAACGGCTAAATGTGTGAAACAGCATTCTATAAACATTAGTATCAAGTATTGTACTTACCACGTATAAAGCATTAAATAAATCGAATTGAATTAAAAATATATAAACAATTGGATAAAATTCAACCTTAAAACAGTTACACACGGCGATTTCTAGCAGCGCGTCTGCAACGATTCTGTTGCGATGCAGTAGCGCTGCACTCGTATTAATCGTCTATCTTTTACATATACGCGTGACTTAAGAGTCTATACTAGCTTAGCTCTAATACAAATTTTTCCTGTATTATGGTTCATTTTGCTTCGGTCTGGCTTAATTTTAGAAATTATTTTTTTACAAACGAAATGAAAGTAATTTGAAAAATGTATATCGTATACTATACGCGTTCTATGTAGTTCAGTTGGTATTAAAAAAAATCATTGGTATATGTAAAGTACCTATTGAATGCAGCGGTTTTCTTGTAAAATTTCGAGGTTAGTTTATGTTTTTTTTTCTATCGTGAAAATGTTTAGGATTATGTAGTGTTTTCACACCGTGTAGTAATCAGTGCATATCCTCAATTTTACTGTGTATATTTTTTTTTAAAGTGATTAATTCAACACTTTCACTGTTATGCAGAATCAACCAGTCATTTGGGGTCGTATAGACCCTTAAGTAGGGATACAATCGCGACGTTTTCAATGATTCAACAGAAGCGACGGTATCGATGTAGACGCGCGTTTGCACCGATACAACCGCATATAAATCGCGAATATTGCGATGGAATGTAATTTACAAAAACAGGCGTTTATATCGCTGATAAAGTCGTCGTGTGTAACTACTCTAAAACTTTCCGGACTTGAACATTCTTACAATGGCCGCGTGGACGATGTTGCTAAAAATGTATGTAATGTTTCCAGGCTCAAGCCGCAAGCACGCCCCTTTATTGCGCAACTGCACCTGAACTCCAGAGCTGTTCTGGATTCTACTTTAAGAACATGAAACAAGCTGATGAAAGCGATCTAGCCAAGGATAGTCATCTTTCTTTTAAGATTATAGAATTATCACAAAACATGCTTAATGAACGTGTAGGTGAAATCGAAGAAATGGTGGTAGAAACAAAACGTGTTGAAGACGTGAAGACTAGAAAACCAGATTTGGAACCTAAAAGTACTATAGCGGAGGCATTGTTTTCTGGCTAACATTTTTTTGGATTATTTTTCATCCTATTAACTTCGGCATGGTCTTACTTATCATGGTCTTATCATTTGGCTTGTTAGAAAACTTGAGAATAAATTAGTATGTTGCTTTTTGTATAATCTGTTATTTTCGTTTTTTAGAGAGTCAAATAACCCTACCAGTTTTTTCCAATTGGATAGTTTGGTGCTCCGGAGATTGGGTGCAACGAAGCGTATTATTATGAGAAACAACACGTCGAATCGAATAGCAAACTTAAAAGCGGTAAAATACGTTCTGACACGGTAACGTGAATAGGAGGAATATTAGTTTGCTCTTGTAAACAAATTAATTGCTTCCATGGCCAAACGATTACCATGTTGGTCTGCCACGCAGAATTCCCAGGTTCGGTCCCCGGGCCGGGAGATATATTTGTATAGCCACCATTTATTTCTCTCGTGAGTTTGGGTGTCATTTATGGTCATCTAAGTGTGTGTCCACCCATGACACAGGGTTTCGCTACTGCGATGCTATAAAATAATGATAATAATGATAATAAAAAAATTAAAAACTGTTTTCACCATGATTATACTTTTTTCTGTCATCCCGACGAACCGCCATCTGTCAAATCAATCGACCAAGGGGAAAAAAAAAAGTCCCATTGGCCACATCCGTCTATCCGTCTATCCATCAATCTAACCAACGGAACACTACTCTTCTTGGTTCGTTTTCTTCCGTGATAAAAGACGAAGTAGAGCAGTGTTTTCCGTTGGTTAGATTGACAAATACAAAGTTTGTGTTGTTTTTTCGTCTTTATTTGGTACTTGGTACTTGGTGTAACGGGCTGGTGTCCGCAACTCGACGCCAAGGCGCCTATCTTGCATACTCATCTTTATTTATTTCCTTCCATTCTCTAAGTTCATCAACTGTTGTGGGATGTAAATCAGCTCCATTGTATCCTGAACCATATCTTACATAATAATAATAATAACGCATACATTCAACACAGTTACGTTGGATGAACAGGGTATTAACTCAAAAATTTGGACTTTTTACTTTGAAAAGCAGTCCGATTAAAAAAAACGAGATTTTTCTAATGAACCAGGTCTTATAATATTCGGACGTGAAATGGCGCGGGAGGCAGTATCTTTGAATTTTTTGCACGTTCTGGCCCCAAACATTGAGCAACACAGTCGTATTACAGTATTACACACGAAGCTGTAGTCTTCAAAACGTCGTCGTTTGTTGAACAGGGTATTAAAATTAAAACATAGCATGTGTTCGTTCATGGTTCATTCTAATGTAAGTGTATTTTAAGAATGTTTATTTCTAAAATGAAGACGATTATTTCAAGGTAATTACCTCTTTTGGGGTATTTTTTTTCATTGAATGGGTATGGTAATTTAGTATAGAAGTAATTTATAGAGGTACTTGAACCACTCAGAAAATTTTTATTCATTCCGGAATTTCAATAAGGAGGTATTATCGATCTACGTATACTATTGATTTTTTTGTAAATATTACGATCTCTGAGAATTATGAATAAATACGCGTAAAAAGAGACGCAGCCTTCCGCTGCTACGATCCTATGCGATATTAAGAAGCAATATTTTCATACGGTCGGTCAAGGATGTCTTGACTAGGCTTTTATAGGATAAATTATTATTCACATGAATAACTTATATTTGATTTCAAGAGTAATTTGCTTACGTTCGAAATATAGACAACTTGAGTATTAAATTTTGATTTGTAAATGTTTTTACTCGTCGTTATGTTTTAATTAAATATCACATTACATTTTCTTCTCAAATTAGATACAGAAAATCATTTTCAAGTGGCAAGGGTCTAACAAACATTGATTCATGGCCTTTGTTTCATGGATCCTACGAAGAAAAATGACTGAAGTCAACAACATTTCGTTGTTTGAGGAACGGCAAAACAAATGTGTCACCTGTTTAATTTCATAACCGAAACTCCAGATTCTTATTATTTACCGGGAAAACCTCCGACAACGTAATTAAGTGTAAAAACTCAGGAAGCCTCTATAATTGGAAAAGTGTATTGAACATGCCATGGATATAAGTCCAGAAGTAAAGAAATAACCCTGATTCAAAAGTTTTCTTAATAAATTACGGAAAAACGTAAATGGCGAACCACAGAACCCCTTTTTATTGAATCAACTTAGCGATGCGCGATTGTGAATGATTTCAATATTCGACAC